TGCGTCTGGCCTTGAGGGCGGCAGCCATCAGCTGACTGTGTGAGGTCCTACGTCTTTGTGCCTTTACTCACCATACAAGCTTAGATGTACAGTTTTGGTGAACAAAACATGTAAATACTTATATATAACGTCTGTATGTAAAAGCAAAAACAGTATGGTGGGTGGAGAATGGTGGCAAGTCAGGTGAGGTGAGGGAGGGAGGGAGTGGCAGCCATTGGCAAGCTGCCACTGCCTGCTACTGCCACTGCCAATCAGCATACCAACCTAGTGTTTCGTTATGGTGAACACGAATGTAGATACTTATATATAGCGTCTGTATATAGTGGATAAAAGCAAATACAGGATTGTGGGAGGAGAATGTGGGTGAGTCAGGTGACTTGAGGGAGGGCGTGAGTGGCTGGCTGGTAAACGACGGTCACTCCTCGTTACTTTTGAGACTCATAATAGCAACTTAGTGGTTCGTTATGGTGAACAAAACATGCAGATACTTATATATAACCTGAGTATATAGTGTAATAACCGACAAAGTATTTGTGCACTGATTGATGAACATAATTGAATCAACAATATGCACACCATATTTTTGAGTACAGCGATGATTCACTCATTTTATTATAGAAATATATCAAACTACACACTATTGAATAATATTACAGCAAAAAAAATACGAAAAATCAATCAGAGACATTGAAATAATTAGGTAATTATCTCTGTGGCAACTCCGGCCTGACAGCTGGCGATCAACAGACCGCCTGGGACGCACGCTAAGTCAGTGCCTGTTTTTTTGCCAGACTTTCCCGCCCTATAGCGGGCAATATATGCCACTTACGATTTTTTTATTATTTTTCCCATGAGCAGTGAACACAAATTAACAGATTAGCAAGAATTTTTTTTTCCTTCAAAATTACATGCGCCTGTGGGGAACAAAGGATATTATACCCCTAGCATGTTAAGGGTACTTCGGTACTTCTGCATTTTTGCAAATGTACCCTACACTATATGAGGGGGGGGGGTTCTCTGTTGAAGTGCTGTCTGCTTCAGATGATTATGTTAAACCATCTTATATTCTGTAATCATAAAGTTAATCTCTTTTTTTAATTGAAGCCATATCTCTTGAACACTGTGTTCAAATTAACACTAAATATACTTTAGTTACAAGTATCATTATTATTTTGCATAAGCTAACTTCTTTTGATAATTACCTTGCATAAGCTAACAATGAAAATCATAAACACCTGTATGTTCCTTTGTGTTGGCAAAAAAGAAAAGCCTTTACATAGTACAGTAGTTTAGTTTATTTATTATGCATCCCATATCCATGTTGTTAGTGGTAGTGGAAATGGTTACAGAGTCACATTTTTTTTTTTTTTTTTTTTTATAAAAGAAATATACAAAGTATAGCACAATATACATGAACAGAAGAACAAGAACATTACAACAAAACATAAGCAGAAACACAAGCAGAAACACAGGCATAAAAGAGAACAATGCAGTACAAGACCCTAGAAACTCCAGGGACATTAGTCCGGATACAAAATGAAACATAATAATGGACATACAACAAACGGACGCATTACGGACATGGAAAGACACAACAAATATACACAGAATAAACCAGACACTCACACATATCCAAATATTAGTTTTATAAAAGAAATACACAATATACAAACCAGACAATAGAAAACAAACATACATACATACATGACAAACATAACAAAGTACGGAAACACAGATGCAAACTAAACATACACAACAAAAACCAAGAAATAAAACACAAAATATGGCACAATGAGAAAACCCCGTAACGGGCACTGGAGGGTACACACACACACACACACACACACACAAACAAACAAAAAAACAGTACTTTACAAATAAATAACACGACATAAATAACATTAAACAGTCACATCCACAAAAAACGGAAGTACAGAAATACAGACAGTAAACACAAAACAAGCCCATCCCAACAACCCAAACTCAGGTGCAGACTAGTACATAACAACAACAGGCCTCATAAACCACCGACACAGAGGCATAAGTACAGAGCTACAGGAAACAACAAAAAATAAAAAATAACATGTAAAGACATAAACAGGGAAATACAGAGATAACAAACACAACAATGCCGCACACCTAATAAAGCAATGTCACAAGGACAAGATAATAAACACACACACACACAAGCGACATACACAACCACATCGCCCGCCACCCCAACACAATACACAGGGCGAGCGCAACGACACGAAAGAAATAACACCAAACACCCACAACCGCACACAACCACACACACCAAATGCAAAGCACAAAACATACAAGAAAACAAGCCACGCAGGGGCAAGAACAACACCCACACGCACAGACAAGGACACCCACCTGTGCACGCAGGCACCGGCGAAACATCACGCACAACATAGACAGAAACCAAACACACCAATAAACCAATCACTCATACTTCTCCGGGTACTCCCGAGCAGGAAACCGTAAACAATAAGCCTCCCAAACAAGTTGGTCACTTTCAGGAATTGGACACCCAGGAGCTGCAGTAGGCTGAGGCATCGAATTTGGCACTCCCGAGACAAAACACTGCGCCCGTGGAACCCAGATGATAGATGGGCACCAGGGAACAGGACGCACCAAGTCAGCACACTTAAAAGTCGCAGTTGCCGTAAATCCGTCGAGCACCTCACCGGTCGAGAGGACAAAAGGGACAGGTTTCCCCCGAGGACGCTGGACACACGGGCACACACTGGGAAGCACATCTGACTGCACGGCAGGCCGCACACCGGCCCGCCACTAGGGCGTGCACACCGGTCGGTGTCAGGAACCGCACCGAGACCCGCAGAGGGTGGCTCTGCAGGGACCCCAGAGCCCCCACCAACCGGAACAGGAGCAGAGGCCCCCCACTTCACATCCTTCGTCAACACCACCACAAGGTCGCTCTTACCAGGGGCAACAGCCCACTGAGGGGAGCCACCAGCAGGAGGCACAGCATCCAACTCAGAAGGCAACACAGCGTCGGCCACATCATCATCCTCCATTGCTTCACGCTCCTCTGCCCACGACCGGTGAGGTGACGCACCCCGAGCCGAGCGACGGCGCTTAAAACGAGGCTGCTGATCGTCGGAGCTGTCACCCCCAACAAGCGGTGTCCCAGAAGAACCACCGACAGGCGGCCCCAAAATCGGGGCAGCACGTTCACGCAGAACAGCAGCCTCAACAACGTGGGGCAAAAAGCCACCACTAGGAACAGAGACCGGAGTCGGAGAAGGAAGAGACACAACAGGCGAAAGGGAAGATGTCAGCACACGTGAGGTATCCAGGGAGGGCGACAGAACATGCAGAATAGAAAAGGTACTCGTCAACGAGGAAACTCCCAGAGGAGACGAGGCAGAGGACGTGGGTGGAGACACACATACCACCGCACCGTCAGCCCCGGGAAGCACATTGCCTCCAGCAGGAGACGCAGGCACCACCCCTACAGCATCCCCCAAGGCCATTGGATGCGGATGCACCTCCACAGTCACCGAACGAAGAAGGTCCGAAACAGGCGCCCTGCACAGAGCGAGAATCCGCCGGGGAGTCCACACGCACAGATAAGCGAGGAAAATCATCCTCAAGGAAAAATGAAGGGGCTTCTGTATGAGGAACGTCACAACCGGCCACGACGTGGCCCTCAGCACCACACCGGAAACACGTTCGGGTCTGCCCCTGATAGAAAGTCCTCAGAGACAGCCCACGATACGAGACCTTGGACGGTATAGGGCTCGTGAGCCGCAAGACAAGCCTGCGTGAACCCAGCCGGACCCCCTTCAGTCGGCCCGCACTCAAAGTGTTGAACCGGTGCTTCACCACCGACCCAAACCGTGTAAACAAGGCCATGAGGGCCGCCTCGGGGAAGGTCACTGGCACGCCGTGAATACTCACAAACGTCAAAGGCCCCCAGGGATCCGAGACCTCTACAGACACAGCCGAGGCCGGAAGAGGAAGCGTGCGGCCATTCCAGCGGGCCACAAACTCCCGGTATACATGTGACGTGGCGAATGACACCGCAACACGGGTGGGCGACAATTTCTCTAAGCCCAGGAGCTCGGGGACGTTAACACGGAGGACGTCGAGGAGGACAACTTCATCAACGGGCCAGTCCACATCAGCAGAAAAATCCAGCCGCACTGTGTCTATTCTTCGAATACGGCTAGTACCAGCCCCGTCCTTATTGGCAGGTGGGGCCCCGACCTGCGTGAGTTCCACCCCCCCTCCCCCTTCCTTACAGCAACCGCCACTCAGCAACGGCAGACGACCACTGACAGCCAGAGCTCGACGTCTGCACCCTCTGGTGGCGCAACCAGCACTCCATTACAGAGGCACATAATTGATTGGCTCAGGGACTGAACCAAACTAAGCTTTAGCTAAGCAAGTTACAATCTTGATGACCTAATTACAAAATTCAATAGATATCGTCACATTGACAAGGGGCTCGAGACCGACTATAAGTACAGTTTTTAAATTAAGCAACTGACATATGTGGATAGGTAGTGTCACAATTGATATGTTTATCCTGCACACTGCTCCCCATCCAGTGGACAGTGGTGGATAGGTTACAATCACTTAGCTATTACATACAGTTAGTAAACTATTTTTATTATATTTGACCAAGACTTCAGGCAGCAGATCATTTTGAATGAAATATTTACTCATATCTTGAACATTTGTTATAGAATTATCTGAATTCACTTATCTTTTTGCATTCCATCACATAGTGACGGAGAGTGTGCAAATAATTTTGACACACTTTATGTTTGGTCAGGTCTATATCAGCAGATAATGAGACTTCCTTTACATATGGGTACCAAAATTACCATAATGAAATAGTTCCTCATTGCTGCCAAATTTCACTATACAGTGTTTCTTTCAATTATAGTTTATTGGAGCACACATTTTGTATTGAGGATATCATATTAATTTTACGCATTTTTCTGTATTTTCAGCATACATGCAGGACAATGTATCAAATGTCAACAAGATGATATAGATATCCAAGAAAATATCAACATCAGTGAGGCAAAAGAAAAGAATGGGGAGCAAGAGGTTACGTTAAAGAAAATGAAGAAAAAATAGACTGTCTCAAGATTCAACTATTAAAGGTAATCAAAACTCATTCTTCATTTCTTAAATTCAAAGAAAAACTTGTATATATTTTAGACAAGTTTTAGGTTATACAATTACATTACTGACTTGTTCTATAAAGTAATTATTTTATATGCAGATGATGATGAGTCACAATAATGTTGCTAAAGAATGTTGACCAAATCACACACAAAAAGATGAAAAGACAAAGACGTTTCGGTCCGTTCTAGAAAATTATTAATTTGATTTTTAGTTGTATTTTACTTGGCTGCTGATATAATTTTCTTTCATGCATCCCAGTTAACAGTAATATGAAAATTAACATTGGAGCCTGACGGCTGAGTGGACAGCACTCTGGGTTTGTAGTCCTAAGGGTCGAGGTTCTATCCCTAGAAGAGGCTGAAACAAATGGACAGTTTCTTTTTCCCTGATGCACCTATTCACGTAACAGTAAATAGGTACTTGGAAGTTAGACAGTTGCTAAGGGCTGCTTTCTGGGAATGTGTGTGTTAATATTAGGTTCTGTTCAAGAATGTAAGAAATCTTATATATATATATATTTATGTCGTACCTAGTAGCCAGAACGCACTTCTCGGCCTACTACGCAAGGCCCGATTTGCTTAATAAGCCAAGTTTTCATGAATTAATGTTTTTTCGACGACCTAACCTACCTAACCTAACCTAACCTAACTTTCTCGGCTACCTAACCTAACCTAACCTATAAAGATAGGTTAGGTTAGGTTAGGTAGGGTTGGTTAGGTTCGGTCATATATCTACGTTGATTTTAACTCCAATAAAAAAAAATTGACCTCATACATAATGAAATGGGTAGCTTTATCATTTCATAAGAAAAAAATTAGAGAAAATATATTAGTTCATGAAAACTTGGCTTATTAGGCAAATCGGGCCCTGCATAGTAGGCTGAGAAGTGCGTTCTGGCTACTAGGTACGACATATATATATATATATATATATATATATATATATATATATATATATATATATATATATATATATATATATATATATATATATATATACATATGTCGTACCTAGTAGCCAGAACGCACTTTTTGGCCTACTATGCAAGGCCCGATTTGCCTAATAAGCCAAGTTTTCCTGAATTAATATATTTTCTCCAATTTTTTTCTTATGAAATGATAAAGCTACCCATTTCATTGTGTATGAGGTTAATTTTTTTTTACTGGAGTTAAAATTAACGTAGATATATGACCAAACCTAACCAACCCTACCTAACCTAACCTAACCTATCTTTATAGGTTAGGTTAGGTTAGGTGGCCGAAAAAGTTAGGTTAGGTTAGGTTAGGTAGGTTAGGTAGTCGAAAAACAATTAATTCATGAAAACTTGGCTTATTAGGCAAATCGGGCCTTGCATAGTAGGCCGAGTACGACGTTCTGGCTACTAGGTACGACATATATATATATATATATATATATATATATTTATATATATATATATATATATATATATATATATATATGTCGTACCTAATAGCCAGAACGCACTTCTCAGCCTACTATTCAAGGCCCGATTTGCCTAATAAGCCAAGTTTTCATGAATTAATGTTTTTTCGTCTACCTAACCTACCTAACCTAACCTAACCTAGCTTTTTTGGGCTACCTAACCTAACCTTACCTATAAATATAGGTTAGGTTAGGTTAGGTAGGGTTGGTTAGGTTCGGTCATATATCTACGTTAATTTTAACTTCAATAAAAAAAAATTTACCTCATACATAGAGAAAAGTGTTGCTTTATCATTTCATAAGAAAAAAAATATAGTAAATATATTAATTCAGGAAAACTTGGCTTATTAGGCAAATCGGGCCTTGAATAGTAGGCTGAGAAGTGAGTTCTGGCTACTAGGTACGACATATATATATATATATATATATATATATATATATATATATATATATATATATATATGTCGTACCTAATAGCCAGAACGCACTTCTCAGCCTACTATGCATGGCCCAATTTGCCTAATAAGCCAAGTTTTCATGAAATAATTGTTTTTCGACTACCTAACCTACCTAACCTAACCTAACCTAACTTTTTCGGCTACCTAACCTAACCTAACCTATAAAGATAGGTTAGGTTAGGTTAGGTAGGGTTGGTTAGGTTCGGACATATATCTACGTTAATTTTAAATCCAATAAAAAAAATTGACCTCATACATAATGAAATGGGTAGCTTTATCATTTCATGAGAAAAAAATTAGAGAAAATATATTAATTCAGGAAAACTTGGCTTATTAGGCAAATCGGGCCTTGCATAGTAGGCCAAAAAGTGTGTTCTGGCTACTAGGTACGACATATATATATATATATATATATATATATATATATATATATATATATATATATATATATATATATATATATATATATATATATATATATATATATATATATATATATATATATATATACATCGTACCTAGTAGCCAGAACGCACTTCTCAGCCTACTATGCAAGGCCCAATTTGCCTAATAAGCCAAGATTTCATAAATTAATTGTTTTTCGACTAGATTAAATAATCTTTGGACAACACCCACCAGTGGGACTCGAACCCAGAAAGCACAACTACCTTCCAGTAGCAGGCATAACTAGTATGCTTTAACCCACTACACCATCAGACCTTTCAAAAGAAGTAGATAGTTCGAGATATATATATCTCAAACATCTCTACTTCCCGAAGGCACCAGATGAGTGTGGGGTCAGTCTGCATTTTCCATCAAGCCACTGTCAATGTGAGAGAACTCGTGTCCAGCTTATAAGCCTATACTTGCATAAACCACAAGTGAAGATTAAATAATCTTTGGACAACACCCACCAGTGGGACTCGAACCCAGAAAGCACAACTACCTTCCAGTAGCAGGCATAACTAGTATGCTTTAACCCACTACACCATCAGACCTTTCAAAAGAAGTAGATAGTTCGAGATATATATATCTCAAACATCTCTACTTCCCGAAGGCACCAGATGAGTGTGGGGTCAGTCTGCATTTTCCATCAAGCCACTGTCAATGTGAGAGAACTCGTGTCCAGCTTATAAGCCTATACTTGCATAAACCACAAGTGAAGATTAAATAATCTTTGGACAACACCCACCAGTGGGACTCGAACCCAGAAAGCACAACTACCTTCCAGTAGCAGGCATAACTAGTATGCTTTAACCCACTACACCATCAGACCTTTCAAAAGAAGTAGATAGTTCGAGATATATATATCTCAAACATCTCTACTTCCCGAAGGCACCAGATGAGTGTGGGGTCAGTCTGCATTTTCCATCAAGCCACTGTCAATGTGAGAGAACTCGTGTCCAGCTTATAAGCCTATACTTGCATAAACCACAAGTGAAGATTAAATAATCTTTGGACAACACCCACCAGTGGGACTCGAACCCAGAAAGCACAACTACCTTCCAGTAGCAGGCATAACTAGTATGCTTTAACCCACTACACCATCAGACCTTTCAAAAGAAGTAGATAGTTCGAGATATATATATCTCAAACATCTCTACTTCCCGAAGGCACCAGATGAGTGTGGGGTCAGTCTGCATTTTCCATCAAGCCACTGTCAATGTGAGAGAACTCGTGTCCAGCTTATAAGCCTATACTTGCATAAACCACAAGTGAAGATTAAATAATCTTTGGACAACACCCACCAGTGGGACTCGAACCCAGAAAGCACAACTACCTTCCAGTAGCAGGCATAACTAGTATGCTTTAACCCACTACACCATCAGACCTTTCAAAAGAAGTAGATAGTTCGAGATATATATATCTCAAACATCTCTACTTCCCGAAGGCACCAGATGAGTGTGGGGTCAGTCTGCATTTTCCATCAAGCCACTGTCAATGTGAGAGAACTCGTGTCCAGCTTATAAGCCTATACTTGCATAAACCACAAGTGAAGATTAAATAATCTTTGGACAACACCCACCAGTGGGACTCGAACCCAGAAAGCACAACTACCTTCCAGTAGCAGGCATAACTAGTATGCTTTAACCCACTACACCATCAGACCTTTCAAAAGAAGTAGATAGTTCGAGATATATATATCTCAAACATCTCTACTTCCCGAAGGCACCAGATGAGTGTGGGGTCAGTCTGCATTTTCCATCAAGCCACTGTCAATGTGAGAGAACTCGTGTCCAGCTTATAAGCCTATACTTGCATAAACCACAAGTGAAGATTAAATAATCTTTGGACAACACCCACCAGTGGGACTCGAACCCAGAAAGCACAACTACCTTCCAGTAGCAGGCATAACTAGTATGCTTTAACCCACTACACCATCAGACCTTTCAAAAGAAGTAGATAGTTCGAGATATATATATCTCAAACATCTCTACTTCCCGAAGGCACCAGATGAGTGTGGGGTCAGTCTGCATTTTCCATCAAGCCACTGTCAATGTGAGAGAACTCGTGTCCAGCTTATAAGCCTATACTTGCATAAACCACAAGTGAAGATTAAATAATCTTTGGACAACACCCACCAGTGGGACTCGAACCCAGAAAGCACAACTACCTTCCAGTAGCAGGCATAACTAGTATGCTTTAACCCACTACACCATCAGACCTTTCAAAAGAAGTAGATAGTTCGAGATATATATATCTCAAACATCTCTACTTCCCGAAGGCACCAGATGAGTGTGGGGTCAGTCTGCATTTTCCATCAAGCCACTGTCAATGTGAGAGAACTCGTGTCCAGCTTATAAGCCTATACTTGCATAAACCACAAGTGAAGATTAAATAATCTTTGGACAACACCCACCAGTGGGACTCGAACCCAGAAAGCACAACTACCTTCCAGTAGCAGGCATAACTAGTATGCTTTAACCCACTACACCATCAGACCTTTCAAAAGAAGTAGATAGTTCGAGATATATATATCTCAAACATCTCTACTTCCCGAAGGCACCAGATGAGTGTGGGGTCAGTCTGCATTTTCCATCAAGCCACTGTCAATGTGAGAGAACTCGTGTCCA